TTTTAGATGGCACTTACATTTATCCTTATGACCATGTGATATTTCAGTTTTTCTTTTTAATAAATCTGCAAAAATGTCAACAATTCTGTGTTTTTCTGTCAATATGGGGTGCTGTGTGTACATTAATGAGGAAAAAAAATTAACTTAAATGATTTTAGCAAATGGCTGCAATATAACAAAGAGTGAAAAATTTAAGGGGGTCTGAATACTTTCCGTACCCACTGTATATACAATTATAATTGAAAATAATTGAAAATTGAAATTATATATATAATTACATTTCTGTCCCCCTCACTTCTTAAATGATGGCTAAGTCCCTTGGACAGACAATCGGATGAATAGACAGACAGACAGACAGACAGGTTTGTTCTGCAGTGACCCAAATTTGTGTGGCTGTCTCTGAGTGTGTGTCTGTCTGTTTCTCATAATGTATTCTGCAGGTGAAGCTGCTCTTCATCAGGTCTCTGGTTCTTGCGTGTTCTTCCCCTGAGTCTGCGTGATTCAGTCAGAGCGTTCAGCCATCTGCTCTGCGGAGAACAGCAGACAGAGCAGAAACACACACACACACACACACACACGCGAGTCTCTCAGGAAAGGTGACCCTCGGCTCACAGCTGAAATATGACATTTGAAAATAAAAGATGTGATCAGTATTAGTGTCACAGAGGTAAACAAACAGCTCAGCAGACTCGTGTTTCTCCACATGCTGTCTGTAGTAACTAACAAGACAGAACTCAGACTGTGTTAGTGCTTTTGCTGATGTATTATTAATAATCCTTTGTGCAGAGCAGGATATTAATAATCTTCGTTGGCTAGTAAAAATTCTTGTCCTAATGGATGTATAGATTCTCAAATGTTTTCAGAGCATGATGAAAAAAAGATTTCATAAATAATACAAGAACTGCAGTTAACAAGTGCTGAGAATATAATATATATATTCTCAGCACATGAGTGTATACATTTCTTTCATGTCAAATTGGAATAATTACATTTTTTTAATTGTTTTTGAAAGAAGTCTCTTTGAAAGAAGCTCACCGAGGCCGCATTTATTTACAGCAACAAAAGAAAAATTGTTAAAATATAATTTTTTTATAAATATGAAGCAGCAACTGTTTTCAACATTGTTGATAATCAGAAATGTTTCTTGAGCAGCAATCAGCATATTAGAATATTAGCATATTAGAATGTGACACTGAAGACTGGAGAAATGATGCTGAAAATTCAGATTTGATCACAACAATAAATTACATTTTACAATATATTCACATAGAAAGCAGCTATTTTAAATAATAATAATATTTCACAATACTTCTGATTTTACTGTATTTTTGGTCAAATAAATGGAGCCTTGGTGAGCAGAAGAGACTTCTTGCAAAAACATTAAAATAAAACTTACTCCAAAGTTTTGACCAGCACTGTATGTATATACTGTATCTATATACATATCTATATAAATAATGTTATTAACAACAGACTTAAAGGGGTCATCGGATGCCCATTTTCCACAAGTTGATATGATTCTTTAGGGACTTAATGAAAAGTCTATAAAATACTTTGGTTAAAATTTCTCAATGGTAGTGTAAAAAACACCCTTTTTACCCTGTCAAAAACAGCTCTGTTCATATCAAGCCGTTTTGTTGAATGTTCCTTTAAATGATAATGAGCTCTGCTGACCCCGCCCCTCTCTTCCGTGGGGTGACGGGCAGACTGTAAACTTTAGCTGCATTTACTTGTTAACTAGCACATATTAGGAAAGGTGATTTGCAAAGATTCATAAAAAGCCCTTATACTCACTTCTTCTGTAGATGAAGCTGGATCATGAATGATTTGCGCGAACATAGACGCATTTAGGTAGGTCGGGGCACATTCCCTTCAAAAACGAAAGTAACGTACAGGAATCTCAGAACAGCCTGATTTGAGAAAGGGGATTTTAAAATAGGGATTAAAAAAAAGCACTGGGTGGATTTTTATCATTATAGGGTGGTTGTGTACACACACTGCCAACACACATTTCAGTTCAAACAACATGTAAAGGGAATTTTGCATCCGTTGATCCCTTTAAATGTAATTTTTTCATCTTTTTACTTCACACTTTTTAAATACAATCCGAATAAATGTTGTTCACTTACTTGAGATGAAGAATCAGTGTCAGTGGTCTAGAAAAGCCTGTTTTATTTTTGTACACCACATGATCCGTCAAATGATCGGATGAATATTACTCACTGTAACCACCTGGCTATGGAATGAATCAATCAATCCTGTGAAGAACTGAAAAGTTGCAAGTGAAGATGCCACAAAGTCTCCACATACAGACGGCTGGTGAAACATCAACAAACACATCTTCACAGATGTGAGCTGTAAATACAATTCATTCTTGTGTTTGTTCTGAACGGCTCTGGCTGTCAGTTACCTATTTTTGTTGTTGCTGTTTGTTACAGAAGCAGCAGAAATGATTCAAATGTCACTCCTGAGTGAAACCCACAGCAGAAAACTTCTCTTCATGATGTGGGCTAAATCATCTGTGACTTAAAAATGAGTGTATCTTACAAAATCCACCTAGAAAATTTCCAGACTGTATTTCACCACTAAATCAAGATGTTTTTCATCCCTTGTACATTTTTTCTTTTGATTTTGAGGTGAAATCAGTAGAAATCTTGTGAGATTCTCATACTGAAGTTGAAGTTGACTTTGAGATTTAAGACGCTCGTGGCTGTGATTTTTTTTCAGTCATATCACAACAGCCATTTAGTCATAATCGGTGTTTTTCTCCGTCAGCGTCGCTCAGCCTCACAGCTTATTATACGTCATTTCTTTCAAATCGCATCAAAGGCATTAGCATTTCAGAAAAGAAAACTCCAGCTGCGTCCAGAGAGAGTCAGAAAGCGTGAGGGAATGTTCCAGTGTTTTGTTTTTCACACATGGCTGACAGAGACGCTTTGTTCACATATGATCCTGTGGAGAGCGTGCTGCTTTAGTATTTGACAACATGATTTAACGTCACTCACTTCTGACCAAAAGGACAGAGAAAACACACAAAAAACATCCTTGAAGGAAAGGTTGACCCAAAAATGAACATTTGATGAAATTTTACTCACCCTCAGGCCATCCAAGATGTAGATGAGTTTGTTTCTTCATCAGATTTGGAGAAATGTAGCATTGCATCAGTGTCTCAGCAATGGATGCTCTGCAGTGAATGGGTGCCGTCAGAATGAGAGTCCAAACAGCTGATAAAAACATCACAATAATCCACACCACTCCAGTCCATCAGTTCACATCTTAAGAAGACAATATCTGCATGTTTGTAAGAAACAAATCCATCAATAAGATGTTTTTAACTTCAAACTGTTGCGTCCGGCTAAAATGTAAGTCCATAATCCATAATAACGCTTCCTTCAGTGAAAAAGTGCATCTGCTGTTGTCTCTCACATCAAAATCCAGCCACATATTTGTTTAGAGCTGTTTTGGCTTGTAAACGGTGCTTGATCTGTGCAGATTTCTCTCCTGATTCAGACCAGACCACTTTTTCACTGGAGGAAGCATTGTTTTGGATTACAGACTCATACAAAAAAAAAAAAAACATCTTGATGGATTCGTTTTTTCCAAACACGCAGCTTTTGTCTTCTCAAGACATTAACTGATGGACTGGAGTGGTGTGGATTACTTGTGGATTATTGTGATGTTTTTATCAGCTGTTTGGACTCTCATTCTGACGGCACCCATTCACTGCAGAGCATCCATTGCTGAGACACTGATGCAATGCTACATTTCTCCAAATCTGATGAAGACACAAACTCATTTACATCTTGGATGGCCCGAGGAGTGAGTAAAATTTCAGCAAATGTTCACTTTTGGGTGAACTATCACTTTAAATATCTATGAAATCAAAATGCACTTTCTTTATCCTGTTTTGACCCAATTTTTTATGTTTTACTTGTAAAATGGAATGGAAATATGTAAATAAATGGGTAGCGTAAACAACTTTCATGTTATTAAGAGACAAAAAAGACCAGAGACACAAATTGTCCACAATAAACAACTGTCATAGGATGTATTTTTTGTTCCAAGTGGCAAATCACTGAGAAAAGCACGGGCAAAGAGTGATAAATACGGAGCGTACAGCCTTTTCTGCAAAATCTGAAGTCTTTTGCACGAACGCATGTATTCACAACAACACCGCACTCGCCGACTCACACATTTATTCCGATTTAATTATACAATGATCGCTTCTTTGACTCCGTTAAACATAATACTGAGCACTGAATCGTTCAAAGGCAAAAGGAGAAGATGACATTACAAAGTTTCATTTCAAAAGAATATTTACAACCAATGAATGTCATTATACACACCTTAGAAACCGTACCATTGTGCCAAATCTCTGGACAATAACTGTTTTATGTACAAAAAGGGCAAAAACGGAGGGACGCGTCGCTCCACTTCAGCAGCCCCAGTCTCTCGGTCGGTTTCCCATAATGCACCGTGAATGTTAATGTCCCTAGACTCGACAAGGCATTTCAGTCCGTCGGTTTAACTGGATTAGTCCGATACGAGGTGAAAGAGCGTCATATGAAATACTCTTTTTGGTTATCACTGATAATGCTCTGTGAGTTCGGATCCGTGTTAAAGGGCATTTCGGGACTGTCGTCGTTTTTGTCTGCTTTGGGCTCTTGGGGCTGAAACGTTTCTTTCCGCCGGTACAGGAATCGCGCCATCACAGCCAGCGCGGTCAGACTCACAAATATCACGACGGCAATGACACCTGAAAAACAGCACAGCGACACGCGAAATAGTGAGGAGACTCTGGACAGCAGAGCTAGACGCTATGACTCAATTACATTTCTACATCTTTGGATAATGAAACATGCAAAATGGACATGGTTGACTAA